CATTGGACACCAGGCACACACTCCTTAGGTACGTCCTTCTGTCCTGTGCAAAATACTAAAATGCAACTTTGATTTAATTTTTATCTGCTTTGCTAAATGATTAATTTTGAAAAATAAATACTAGAAGACAAAAACATCGATAACCTGACATTTCATTAGGGTGACATGTATTTCGTATGTTTCATGGCTATTACACAAGTCCTACACTGTGTTAATACGTGAAAAACTTTGATATCATCACAGAATAAACATCAGATGATATTTTACATTTAAAGTATCAGGATATGTTAAGTTTGGCAGATCTGAAAACCACCAATGATAAGAGTACTAGTGATAAGCGTAAATATATATCACAGACAGAAAGCGGAATATGTCAGCCTTAACGCATTTTTCAGAAAATGTGAAACGATATTTTTGGTAGTTCCATTAAGATATGCTATATGATGGCATTTGGTCGGGTTTTTGCTGACATTTGACATGCCAACTCGCTCAACTGCATCTTTAAATGTTAGTATCTCTACAATTTTGATATACAGTGCGGTAGTACTGGCATCAGTTTCTGTATAAATGTATGCTGGAAAACAGATACACGTTACATAACACAGACCATATTTCAAGTTACATCGACGGCGTATTGATCATGACTTCCGGTAATTAATGCCTCGCTGTGCAAACACACGGCTGGTACTTAGGACATTTAGAACTGTCACAGTCCCAAAAATCGAAACAGTGAGTGAGTTACGGTTCTATTATTAAATAATTCCCTTTGTGATGCCTTGCTCTGAGAAAATACATCAACGAGTCGGTTGCCGTACCATCACAGAGGCGTGCGGAAGGAAAATCTTTATTCATAGTGTTGGACCAACATGATGTATATACGTGTACACGTGCTGGTCTGGTTTATATAGACAGCATCACTTTAACAACACGGGTCTCGAATAAACAGAAAAATATTCAAGGTATATATATACTCTGATAAAATAAACCACAAAAAAGGCGATTTTAAAGAGCTTTGGTTGCAATTGCTTGCTGTGTGCATTGCAGTAAAGATCTACTCGTATGGGCTCCTCTCATCTAAAAAAAGGCAGTCTTTTAAGGAGATAAGAAATACTGAATATACATGTGATCACTAAAAAAAGCTATCCTAGCAACGTTGGTGTTTTTAGATTTATAGTCATATATACGTTCTGAAAAATTGTATAACCTGCCACCAAACAGGATGCAAAAGGTATTCGTCATCACACATATCGTATCGATTATTTTGTTGGTGCCCGCTGCCTTTATAAACTCCCCGCTTCTTGTTTTCGTCTCGGCTGGTTCTATTAGCATCTGAACCCCTTTACACATATACAAAATAACTAAGATTTAAAAAATTAACAATAAGATGTTCTCTTTCATTCATATAACCCAAAACTGTAGACTGCTTTTTTGTATTTATAACATCTACAGCGGCTGTGTACTCATTTTTTTCAGCTGGAGATGTCTGAGCAGCAAGTCACCTGTTCTCGAACTCGTAAGTAACATGCACATGTGAATGCCACGGTGTGGTCATATATAATACTATAGATAACTCATTTGCAAATGTCGTTTACAGTGTCTTCACATGGGACGTATCAATGTTTTTGACCCTGACTGATTACCAATATCAGTGCTAGCACCATTTCTTCAAAGTTCTGTTTTACCGTAATTGTAACTGACCTTGACCTATATTAAGACTGACCTTGACCTGTAATGAGACTGACCTTACATTGAACTGACCGTACACTGGGACTGACCTTGGCACTGATCAAGTGTTTACTTTATTTCTAGCCCCTTATCCTGTGTATACCTACGTTCCTATCAGTCTGTCGTACGCTGATGCAACGGCACACTGCCGGGAGAACGGGACTCACCTTGCAACAGCCGAAACAAGGAACGAATTAATTTATTTACATGCGTTTTGGCAGCAAGTCCCAGGGGCAGGTGCGACACAACAGTGACCTAGATCTGTATCTGGGTCATTAGTTTATCGTCAATTGATTGACGGGGAATTAATATTTAGTTAAGATGCTTACACTTTATATGTATTCCATTTTATGTTTTTCAGGATCTTCAATAATATTCAAGCTTACAATATTAACAAACAAATGTTAAAACTATTTCTGGAACATTTGAGTATTGGCGGCGTTATTAATACAAATAATGTTTTGTTCTCTCTTAAAGTGTAAAGCTGTGTATAGTGCATATCAATTTTGTTTGCCAAAACTGTCACTAATAGTGAGAAAACTATTGGCCTTAACTATATGTAGCTTTTAGCATGATCTATATGATTCACTGAAAATTCATGGCTACAACTTTCCGTTCGTACTTTCAGAGAGCAGTATTTGGCTGGGAGCAGACGACATCGCAAAAGATGGCGACTGGCGGTGGAACGCTGCAAATGGAGATCCGGTGGAATATTCAGCATGGCATCCAGTTGAGCCGAATGGCGGAAGTGGAGAAAACTGTATGGAGATGTATTCAGACATGGTGTGGAACGACAAGGATTGTGACAGGACTAAAACTTTCCTGTGCGAAGGGTAGAAACTGTCAAATCCACTGACACATCCGGGGATTTCAAAAGAGGGCGTGGGGCACGCGGATAAAGCAAGGAACAAATTGACATAAATAGTAGATGGCAGTAGTTATGTTGTGATATGAGGGCAAAGGGTTGGAAATGACTCGTTTTTATCGTCGGCCTTGTTATGTGTGATTACCTTCTGTATACCCGGGGCGGTATATGAAAGTCCATATTTCACGGAATTCGTTTACCTAATCATAGCAGGTGACTTATTTGATTGGTCGGCGACCCCCCCCCCCCACCCTTTTAACAGTGACATTCATTAGGTGAACTGTCAATGCCTCTACCAATGAAACTGAAGCACGATGCATTTTTCCCATTAACCAATAACATAAAATACAAGGAATAATCAATTGAACAAATAAGAAGAAAATAAATAAATGAGTGTACACAATTCTGATTGTCTGAAAGTTTATAGTCAGCCTTATTTTGCCTTAACTTTCCAATTGTGCCTGCAGTTTTGGATGTTACTAACCTCCTTTCACAAAGACACAAACAGGGGAGTTTGAGTAAAAAAAAAAACAAACTATATATAAATGCGTATGATATCTCCCTTACAACTATCAAATGAAGGTAATAAGTACGATGAACTTGTTTATCCTCATTAACACTATGTATGTATGTCAGAAAGAAGAAAACTTAGCAGATAAAATACTTTTTATTCGTTTCTCCATTTCATTCAAAACCAAGGCACTCACAGAGAATGAGAGAGAGGGAGAGAGAGAAAGAGAAAGAGAGAACATGAACATCTTGAATGTCATTGCTTTTGACTTTTCTCTTGAATAGGCACTAATTAACGGGTTTCCTGCTTTTATCGAGTACCGTGATTGTCCTGTACGTAGGTTACGTAAGCCCTCTACCAGGGCGGCAGATTAATTATGTCCTTTTTTCCGTCACCAGAGATTTGTGACATGAATTAGCAACAGACATTTCTTACAATTAGCGAAAAACCAATATTTGATTTTAGTGTACGCACACATATATTTATTTACGCAGTTATCATGCATGTATAAGAGCCAGTTGGACACATTGCGAGTCATTTTATAGAACTTACAGACACCGAGTGTGCTTCTGTTCTTCTGTTTGCGCCAACGGTAAAGGAAAAGACACACAATGAAATATAAATGTTTTTCTTCTTTGGATTAAGTGCAAACAATTATAAATGGTTATCCAAATGGATACGATCACAGAGTTGAATTCTATCCATTGATTATGAGTATTGTGTTTCGAATACATTGGATTTTTATTATATTTATAGAAAGAGAGTTGATTTCGTTTTTGGGTCATATTTGCATCTGGTGGCCATTGTTTTTCGAGTATGTTAGTTTGTGTTTGAGAGATCAGAGCGTCATCGCCATATATTTACCATGTCGATAATAATCCCGTATAGAGACGGTTGACAAATAAATCCGACCACCTAGCACTTGGGAAAAACTTTCCAGAGACTAACTAGAGATGTCGTTGCTACACTAGAGTTGTGTTTTGGCTGGTATCAAAATGCTTCTAAACATGGTCTGCATTTTGCATCTCATACTTACGGTCGTTTGGATTGTGGTTGGAGATAAAAATTCTACAGATGTCTACAGATACGTCAGCCCTCCAAGCTGCCTGGAAGACGTGGCAAATGTTAACGTTTTCGGACACCAATACGTGTCTACAAAAAGCGCTTGCGCCATCGCGTGTACGGCAAATACGCCCCGCTGTGTTGGATTCAACTATTTTAAAGTCAATTCAGGGGAAGATTTATGTGAATTTGTTGACTCAAAATCCGACGAGACTAGCACGAATTTGGTTCACAGAGATGGATATCGGTACTTTGAACAGGTAATGTATCACTTTTCATTAATTTTATTCGTTAATCGAATAGATACGCATCAGGCCTGGATACTCGTGCTACAACATACGTTCAGTCATGCAAGTACACATGTACACACGTTCACACACAACAATACATGAACGTGCACGTCAATCTGTTTATCCAAAACCCGGACACCTTTAAGAATTGACTGCAATTTGTCAAGGTTTTGCGGTTAGTTCTACTGAAATGCCTTCCATTTACTTTAATGAAATTATCTGCTTACTGCTTTGCTCAAAATAGTGGCCGGACCTGATAAAATATATGACATTTCTTACAAATATCAATCTGTTTAGAGCACTGCTGTATCAGTGCGGATACAACATGTTAAATCGATAGACAAACAAAATAGAGAACAAACACGGTTAAGTTGCTCACTTCCGGTGGATTTAATGGGATTTTAAGTGTGCCCTCTGCCCTCTTCATGGAAAGTTAAAATTAATTCTAAAATCATGCTCACATGTTTTTAATAACACTAGAATATAATAATCATATCAGTGCGGACACGTTAAACACCCACATCTCGACGGGGTATGCTGTTCACTAGCGCCACCTATCTTTATAAAATACAAGTAAGATTACATTTATGTACCTTTATGTTAACAATAAGAGGTCACTTTTTATTGATATACCGTAGAATCGAATACTGCATTTTGAATTGACAATTTTTAAACTGTCTGTGTGTTTCTGTTTTGGTAAAGTTGAAGATTTTTTTTAATAATATTTTTAAATAAAATAATAATTTAAAAAGCGGCTGTGTGCTGTATTTTCAGCTGGAGATGTCTGAGCAACAAGTCACCTGTTCTCAATCTCGTAAGTAACATGCACATGTGCAAAGGACAGTCACCGCTATTGCATATTTGACTTAACGGGTCGTTCATTTTGTCAACTGTATTAAGTTTTTTTTTTTTTTCAATTGGGGACATGCATGTTGCTATTGATCCTATCTGATGGCTTACATTAGTAATGCGCAATTTTCACAAGGATCTGTTTTACCGTGTTTGAGAATGGCCTTCACCTTTATTCTAAATGACCTTGACATGTATTGAATATCACCTTGACCTACAGTGGGCTTGATCTTGACACTAACTTTGTGTTTCCCGTTTTTCCAGGTCCTTATCCAGCGTATACCTACGTCCCTATCAGTATGTCGCACGCAGCAGCAACCGCACACTGCCAACAAAACGGGACTCACCTTGCAACAGCGGAGACTAGGAACGAATTAATTTATTTACACGCGTTTTGGCAGCAAATCCCAGGGGCAGGTACGGCATTTCAGTGACTTAAATATGTATCCAGGTCATTTCAGTGACCCAGATCTGTATCCAGGTCATTTCAGTGACCTAAACCTGTATCCAGGTCATTTCAGTGACCTAAATATGTACCCAGGTCATTTCAGTAACCTTAACTTGTATTCAGGTCACTTCAGTGACTTAAATATGTATCTAAGTCATTTGAGGGACCCAAATCTGTATCCAGGTCATTGGTTGTTACGTGCATTGATCTTTGGGTAATCAGGTTTCATGTCAGTAATCAAAATCATATCCCACTATATATTTTTAATATTCAGTCAAATTTTAGGGATTTAGAAAACTGTTACAGCATGATTTAGTAGCCTACAATTGAGAAAAAGCCACAAGAAAGCCTAATCACGCATGTATTTAGTTTTTTAAAAAATTCTATACTTGTCACATGAAGTAATATCTATATGCTTAAAACAAAAGCTAAAAGCTTTATTTTTCTCCATTTGTTCAGCCGGTAGCATTTGGTTAGGAGCAGACGACATCGTCCAAGATGGCGACTGGCGGTGGAACGCTGCGAATGGAGAACCGGTGGACTATTCAGAATGGCGTCCAAATGAGCCAAACGGCGGAAGTGGAGAAAATTGTATGGAGCTCTTCTCAGACGGGGCGTGGAACGACGAGTCGTGTAGCAGCGCCAGAGCCTTCCTCTGCGAGGGATAGAAATTATACACCTGGCCCCCGTTTCACAAAAAAACTTAAGTCGGTTTCCCTGACTAAGAGCTTGGTTACCAACGTAATTAAGTCGTTACGTCACTAAGTCCCGTTTCACAAAGAATCTAAAAGGTCGCTTACGTCGTTTTTTTTTTCTTAGCTGCTAGTCGACGATGTCTAGCCTCCTCGGGAAGAGACTTAAGTCGGCAAGCTCAACTAAAACTCGGTAAATGAGGGCATAAACAACCAAAATTAGGAAAGAACATACCTCCTTCAAGATATTGTGTTATAATATCCTTGAATAGCACTGACATTTATGGAACATTGAAATAAAAAATAAAATGCCACTTTACCCAGCCGATTCGCGTGTTTGTTTATGTTTTTGACCGCTAGACGTCCGTCAGCAGTGTTCAACGACAAGCTAATGTTTAACTGTTACTTTGAAGTTGTATTGAAGGTAAACTAATCAATAAAGTTCAAAAACAAACTTTGTTTGTGTTTTGGCTGACTTTTATTGTTGATAGACGATCGTTCTCGGCCGAAAGAGGCCATGAAACGTCATGTCTTGTGAAACTTTTGAAATTTTACAGCTCCTTTTCTTGAAGAGTTTCTCGTGCGCGTTTCTAACTAGAAATGACAATAATAACAAAAACGAGCCCTGATCCACATACCAAAGTGGAGGTAGGCTTCGCATCCGCGGACCCCCTTAAAATGATCCTGGATCATTTTTTCCGTCGGCCTTGTTATAAGTGATTACCTTCTGTATACTAGGGCGGTATATGAAAGTTCATATTTAACATGATACGTCTAACTGATCATAGCAGGTTACTTATTTCATCGGTTGGCGACCCCCCCCCCCCCAGCCCTTATCAGATGAAGAAGGTGTCACTTACACAAAATAAAGAAAGATTCAAAACAATGACATTCATTAGGTCAACGGTCAATGTGTCTACCAATGAAACTGAAGCACGATGCATTTTTGCCATTAACTAATAAATAAAATACAAGGAATAATTAATTGATTAAATATAAAGAAAAATAAATGAGTGTGCAAAATTCTGAGTTCCTGAAAGTGTTTAGTCAGTCTTTCCTCTATCTTTCTATTTGTGTCCGCCATTTTTGATGTTACTTTTTTACCTTTCACAAAGAAGCAAACCGGGAATATGAGAGTAAAAAATTAAAAACAAAAAAATACATACATGTATAACTGAGTATGATGTCTCCCTCACAACTCTCAAATGAAGGTAAGAAGTACAATGAACTTGTTTATTTTCATTAACGCAATACAAACCTGTCACTAAGAAGAAAGCTTGGCAGAAAAAATACTTGCAATATGCGTTTCTCCAAATCATTCAGAACCAACACACGGAGAGAGAGAGAGAGAGAGAGAGAGAGGAACGACTTGAATGTAGAACTAATTCCTCATTGCTTTTTATGTTTCTCCTGAATAGGTACTAATTAACGGTTTTCCTGCTTCTATCGAGCATCGTGATTTTCCAGGACGTAGGTTACGTAAGCCCCCTACCATGGCGGCAAATCAATTTTATCCACTTTTCCGAGATTTGTGACAAGAATAAGCCAGAAACATTTGTGACAATTAGCGAAAAATCAATATTTGAACGTGGAAGGCGGGAGTTTACGTAAACGTATACTTATTTATGCTGTAATCATGCATGTATAAGAGTAAGTTGGACTCGTTGGCAGTCGTTTCATATCGAGTGTGCTTCTATTCTTCTGTTCCTGTGCCACTGGTAAAGGAAAAGACACACAATGAAAGTTTTTCTTCTAAGGTTCTCCAAAAGGATGCAATTATAGCGTTGATTTATCTGCATTGATGATGAGTAGTGTCTTTCGAATACATCGGATTTTTATTATCTTTATAGAAAGAGAGTTGATTTCGTTCTGGTGTCAAATTTGCCTCTGGTGGCCATTGTTTTGCGAGTATCTTAACTTGTGTTTGCGAGATCAGAGCGTCATCACCATTTATAATCCCGTATAGAGACGGTTGACAAATAAATCAGCCTAGCACTTGAGAAAAAACTCTCCAGACTGACTAGAGGTATCGTTGTTACACTAAAGTTGTATTTTGGCTGGTATCAAAATGCTTCTAAACATGGTCTTCATTTTGCATCTCCTACTTGCGGTCGTTTGGATTGTGGTCGGAGATAAAAATTCTACAAATGTCTACAGATATGTCAGCCCTCCAAGCTGCAGGGAAGACGTGGCAAATATCAAGGTATATGGACAGCAATATGTGTCTACAAAAAGTGCTTGCTCCATCGCTTGTACGGCAAACACGCCCCGCTGTGTGGGGTTCAACTACATTGAAGTCAATTCAGGGGAAGATTTATGTGAATATGTTGACGCAAAATCCGACGAGAATAGCACCAATTTGGTTTACCGCCATGGATATCGCTACTTTGAACAGGTAATGTATCACTTTCTCATTATTCATTAAAATACGCACTATGCCCTAGAAGTCGTGTATTAACATAAGTACAGTCTTGCAAGAACACACACCCTTGCATACAACAATACATGAACGCACACAACAATCGGTTTAGCAAATCCCGGACACTTTAAAGAATTGACTGCAATTTGTTTTCACATGTTAAAATATTTTGCGGTTAGTTCTACAAAAATGCCTTTCCATTGCGAAAAATTGCATTTTTCATATGAAATTGTCTGTCCACTGCATTATTCAAAATGGTTGTCAGACCTGATAAAATATATGACATTTCTTACAAACATCAATCTGTTTAGAGCACGGCTGTATCAGTGCGGATACAACATGTTAGAGAACAAACACGGTTAAGTTGCTAACTTCCGGTGGATTCAATGGGATTTTAAGTATACCCTCCGTAAATGAGATGCTTTAGATACAGGTAAAATTTAACAATAATCTGATAACTCTTCATGGAAAGTTACAATTAATTTCAAAATTACGCTCACATGTTATAATAAGATAGTATATGAATATGACTCATGTCATTACGGGCACGTGTAATACCCACTTCTCGATGAGGTATGCTGTTCACAAGCGCCACCAATGGTTATAAAATAGAAGTAAATTGAACAATACGGGGTCAGTTTTTATTCATATATCGTAAAATGGGAGACTGCTTTTTGAATTGATCCATTTTAAACTGTCTGTGTGTTTCTGTTTTTGTAAAGTTGAAGCCTGTTTCTGGTATTGATATTTATCTTTGAATAAAATAATAATTTCAAAGTGGCTGTGTGCTCTATTTTCAGTTGGAGATGTCAGAGCAGCAAGTCACCTGTTCTCGATCTAGTAAGTAACATGCACATGTGTTAAGGACGGTCACCGCGATTGCATATCCGACTTCACGGATCGTTCATCTTGTCAACTGTATTTTTTTTCAATTGGGGACATGCATGTTGCTATTGATCCTATCTGATGGCTAACATTAGTAATGCGCAATTTTCACAAGGATCTGTTTTACCGTGTTTGAGACTGACCTTACCAATGACCTGACCATTGCCAATGTTCACCTTCATTCTAAATGACCTTGACCTGTATTGAATGTCACTTTGACCTACATTGGGATTGTTTTTGACTCTTACTTCCTGTTTTTCCAGCTCCTTATCCTGTGTATACCTACGTCCCTATCAGTCTGTCGCACGCAGGTGCAACGGCATATTGCCTACAAAACGGGGCTCACCTTGCAACAGCCGAGACTAGGAAAAAGTTAATGTATTTACACGCGTTTTGGCAGCAAGTCCCAGGAGCAGGTACGGCATTTCAGTGACTTAAATCTGTATCCAGGTCATTTCAGAGACCTAAATATGCATCCAGTTTATTGGTTATTATGTTCTTGATCTTCGGGTAATCGGACTTCTTGTCAGTCACTAAATGCGTATTCCATTATATGTTTCTTTTAATCTTCAGACTGCTATTTGAATCAAACACAATATATAGATACTTCTGGAATGTGTTTGCGTTTGACGATTAGCGACGTTAATTTTCAATGAAAAGGGGTTTAGAAAACTGTTACGTTATTACCAAGTACAAATGAGAAAAAGGCACAAGTGAGCCTAAACTCCCATGTATTTTTAGGTTTGGAAAATATTTATACTTGTCACATGAAGTGATATCTATATACTTTTAACATAGTTAAAGGCTTCAATTTTCTCATTATATAATCAGTCGATAAAATTTGGTTGGGAGCAGATGACATCGGCCAAGATGGCGATTGGCGGTGGAACGCTGCAAATGGAGACCCGGTGGAGTATTCAGAATGGCACCCAGGTGAGCCAAACGGCGGAGCTGGAGAAAACTGCATGGAGCTCTACTCAGACGGAACATGGAACGATAAGTCGTGTAGCAATACCAGATCCTTCCTCTGTGAAGGATAGAAAGTATACCTCTGTATATTACACGAACATTAGGATCCCAAGCCCATGCGGGGACTTTCTTAGGAAGGGGAACAAGGATAAAAAATCCTAAATAATGGACGTAAGCAAGTATTTGTTATACTTACAGGGCACAGGGATATTTGGCTCCCTGATATTTAGCTCTTGTGGAATGTCCGGATCACCCACTCAAGACTTTACCGGCGGGAAATAGCCTGATTTGTTTGGTTTGGCTTACATACTAATCAGATGGAATAAGAACTCAGCAATTACACACATGTGTATAAAAAGAAAGACTTTGAACGTACATTATTCTCAGTATTCATAAATAAATTATTATTTGCATATTATGTTAGTTCTAATTCATGCAAGTAATAAAATCCTTTGGTGAAAATTTACATCAAAGTTTCGTTATCGATCCTCCTGCCGGAGGATAGAAATTGTTCAGTTTTTAACTTTGCATAATTTCAATCTTTCAGGACCGTTCACAACTAAGGTTTAAAACTTCCACGGTTTGGTGTCCACATATGCGCATTTAAACACATAAAAAGAACAAACGCCAGTCCCAAGTAAAGTTTCTAACTAGACATGAAACATGACAATAATAGCAAATGGACCTTTCGAGCATTTTGGGG